GCCTTTTCCACACTAAATGATTTTATGATTGTGTAAGATGCACCCAGCTGGGCAGGCAGGGGGCTGCTGGCAGCTCCAGCACCCCAAAATCCCTTTCTCTGCCACCAGGCTCCAGGGAGCTGTCTCAGGGAGGTGAAGCCCAGCCCATCCTCGTTCTTCCCAGTGCTCAAACTGGAGCCTGAGAACCTGGTGCGAGTCTCTCCTGAGTGGAGATCACAGCTCCTGACAAAGACCTGACCCTAAAGTTTCACCCTTCAGATCCAGGAGCACGAGCGTTTGCCAGGGCTCGAGTAGCAGGTTTACCCAGCGGGAATGACGTTGGATTTTGGCAGGGGAGATGTTTGAGAAGAGAAGCCAACAGGCTCCCCAAAACCCCAGGCTCTGCCATCCAGGGTGGGTGGAAAGTCACTTTCCCATCACCTCTATTTTGAGGGGCTCCCCCATCACTTCTGCTGCTTGCCGGTGGGATGATGCTTCCCAAAAAGCTGCGGTGAGGAATCACAGGTCACTGCTGCAGACTTACCTTCACAAAGTTCATCACTCCTCTGCAATTTTGCTCTCTGTTTGGGTCCTGCTGGGCTGCCCTTACCTCCCCAGGCTTGCTCCAGGTGGGTTTTGATAGCTCACTTTTGTCAAGTTTCATTGGCCTTGGAGTCCAACAACAAGCACCTCCTGCGGAGACAGAAATGTCTTCAGGGCTACCAGCTTGCCAGCCAGCAGGGAGCGGGGAATTGCTGAGTTTGGGTAAATTTTTCATTACAGAGAAAACAAATTCTACAGGTTCTTCCCAGGGTAATGCACAACTTCCAAATACCCAGCAGACACAACAGCCTGGCTCCAAAGAAAAAGCACAATTTCTCATTCAACGTTTTCCTGCGCCCGCTCCCCGGTTTTCTTTAGAAAATGAACTTCTGGCTAAACCTATTCAATCTCACAAAGCATTTCAGTTTTGACAGGAGTGCATATTTTGGAGGAACGTAGTTCCATCAGAGTTTCTCCAGCCAACTCTAATCCCAAATGCCTTGCTGTGACTAAACCTCATTTCTATGTTAAGTACCTTAGCTTGCCTGTAAGGGACAGGTAAAAACTCAATCAGTCAAGTAGCCTCCCCGCAGCTGTCTTGTTAAGTGTTGGCTTTTTAAAATGCTTTTTTTTCATCTTTTCTTTAATGGAGCAGAGGTGGAAGACCCCCAGGGAGAGGCACAGTTTGCTCCCTGACAAACAAACCCACGATTTTGCTCTGGCAGCTCCCTTACCGTGGGGGAGAGAGGGATGCACTGTAGGAAGCTGCCACTTCTTGCAAGGATGCTCGGGGCACCTGGGTCTAGGGAACCCTTTGCTGCTTTCTCTTTCATTATCCAACATCCAGAATGGAGGAAAAGAGGGGGAAAAAGCCCAGTTTTGGTGAAGCACCTTAGCAGAGAAGTGTGGAGTGCTGGCGCAGTGGCAGCCCCAGAGTGCTGGCTGCGGTCCTTGGAGAGGAGCACGCAGACATTTCTCCTCTTGTGTGTGCATCAATATACCCGCTGGCAGCCAAATTACCAGCCCAGCGGGGCTGAATTTAAGGCACAGGCTGCTGTAGCAGAGGCACGGCTCTTTTTCTTCTCCCACGGAGCTTGGTTGTACCTCTCCAAGCACTGCACCTCCTCTCTGAGCTCCTCGCTTTGCACTCTTGCTGTCCCCGTGCATGTGCCACCCATGCAGTGCAGGAGGGTACGGCCTGATCCCTCCAGGAGGGATGGATGTCCTGGGAAAAAGGGAAGAGCCTTCCTCCATCCCTTTACGAGCCCCCTGCCCTTGGTTTGTGGGGCTGTTCTGCCCCTATAGCTATGACTGTAGTTTGGATTTGGTGTTTGCTGGCAGCTGCGGGCACTCAGCACCAGTGCTGTGGGTCTGGTGCTGTTCCCAAATTCATGTGGGGTTGGGAAAATGTGTGTGACTGTGCAAAATGGGGGAGTGGAACAAATGAGGAGATCACGGTGCTTCACTTTGACTTTGGGAATAAAATATTTTGTTTCAAGAACAGCCTGAATGCCCCATGTGGGGAGTTTTTATTTTGTAATAAAACTGGGAGCGCAGAGCGGGATCCAAAACTTCCCAGGTGGGGAGAGCTGAGTGCTGGCAGAGGTCTCACGACCCCGTGTGATGTCTCCATCACAGCCAGAGCCTAAGGTCCTGCCAGAAAACTGTTCTTGGGCTTGCTCCGGAGAGGTGCTGGGCTCTGCAGGCTCTGTCTCCAGCTGCTCACCCAGCCATCAGTTCCTGGAGGGCAAATAACCGGGAGGTGGAAGTGGCTCATCACCGTGACCCCTCTATTCTCTCCTTTCTAGCCATTGGGGCTGGATGGCATTTCTTCATACACCAGGGTTTCTCCTGCAGCAGAGTTGGGTCCCCAAAAGGTCCTATGGCCCTCTTGGGGACCATAGGACCCCAAGAGTGGGGTTCTATGGGGACAGTGGCATTGCTGCCCGGTCCCTTGTGCCTCCACGCAGGACAACGCTGTGGCTGAGCTGGCTCTGACCCCGGGTCAGAGATGGTTACATAAAATACTTACTGTGTGCCCCAAGACCGTGTTGGGTGGAAGCCAACGTACTGATTAGGTGACGTCTGCCCGGGACGGGGTGGATTTTGTCCTCACAGCAGCTGGTGGTCCCCGAGCTGCTGCCCAGAGGCTGCTTACGTAAGGAACTGGCTGCAGAGAGCGCCTGGGGGTTATTTTGGGGGGTTGTTTTTTGGCTGCCTCGCCCCTGGGGTGCCCATCTCCTTGCGATGAGCATCCATCGGTCATCACAGCTCTTTCCTCTTCCCTGTGTTAAAATAACCTGCCCCATGGGCAAGCGAAAGGAAGCTGAGCACTGGTGGTGGAGCACGGGGAGCAGCAAGGGGACGGGGGACTTCACCCCCACTGCTCTGAGCAGCTCTTTTGGGAGCATCCCATGGCAGAGAGGCAAAGTTGTGCTTATCCCTGCTGGTCCAGGGCACGAGCTAGCACCGGGCTTATGCACGAGGTCTGGGAAATCACAGCTGCTGCCCCAAATCCTCCCCCCCAAACACGGCAGGTCACGATAGCAGCAGATAAGCTTCTTGCCTCCTGCTCCGTCCTATATTTGCTGGGCAGGATCCCAGCAGGACACGGTCCCAGGGCAGATCTCGGGGTGGTTTTTTCCCAAACTGTCTCTTTTCCTGCTCCCCAGCTGCGGGCAGGGTCTCCTTGATCATTTGTCCCACTGACGTGGCCTGGGTCTCTCCGCAGGGACCCTGCTGGAATGAGCTCTGCTGGGTGAGATGAGGCTGAGTAAAATTGGAGCCTCCCGAGGGCTGCGGCGTGATCCCAGCTGCACGACCCCACGGCAGATGAGGGATGGAGAGGGGGAGACCCCAGTGCCTGAGTCTGCAGGGAGCCTGAGCCCACGGCACGGGGCCAGCCCCCGGGGGGATGCCAGCGCTTGCATGCGGTGACGATGCTGCTAACGTCGGCGTTGCAGCTGGGGACAAATCCAGCTGGACAGAGCAATCCTTTATTAGCAAAATCTGCAGAGTTTCACTGGCTGCAAGCAGCCCCGTTTGTTGGCTGGCAGCAAGGCCAACGTCTCCTTCCCTGCGCTGGACGTTTTGGGGGAGAAACAGCTTGTTTGGTGCCTGGCTCCTCGTGGGGCAGGGCACTAATGACAGCCCCTGGCTGAGTGTTCCTGGGGCAGGACGTGTCCCATGGCTCTGCCATCCCAACCCGGAGCAGAAGGCCCAGCTCCCCGGCACCGTCTGGGGCCACATCCTGCACTGGGACCAGCTCCGAGCACCGCAGGGGTGCCCATGGAGCACCAGGGCACGTTAATAGTGTGCTAACGGCTGTATTTAATTTGGGTAGGAGATTCCTTTTGTGCACCCAGACCCTTCTAGGAGCAGCACCTCACTTTGGGGACATCCCACAGCCCCACAGTGCGCTGGCACAGGGTGATTTGGAAGAGTCTCAGCCTGGCTCTGGGATGGATCCTGCATCCAGGGTCCTTGGGTCCTCTTCATCTTGTTCTTGGGAGCCCCCCGGCCCCATCCACTGCCCCGTGACCCCGTGCCATGGGTAGGACGGGTGACTTAGCATGTTTCTTCGGGCCCCGCTGCCCCCCCCCCCCAAAGCCTCTTCCTCCAGGAGCCCTGACACTAATGCAGTGCAAGCGCGGGATTTATGGGCGGCAGCCCTCCAACCGGCCCATTCGTCTTGATTAAATTAGCCCTAATGGCTCTGCGCTGACTCGCTCGCCTCCCCGCGCAGCCGTGGTGCTCCTGGGCGGTGGGATGGGGCTCCTGGGGGACAGGGGGCTGCAGGGACCCCCCCAGGGCACTGGGGATCAGGCTATGGGATCAGGATCTGGCTGTAGGATCAGGCCAGATTCTGACCCCTGGCCTCATCTCCGGCACCTCTGGTGCTTGTCACCCTCCGAGCTGGCCCCGAGGGCTGCGGACCCCCTGAGCATCCCCTGGGGTTTGGGTTTTCCAGCCAGGGATATCAAAGCGCTGGTAAAAAGTCAGCGTTGTGGGGTTAGTGCAAGCAATAGGGTGAGGCTGGGGCAGGACGGCAAGGTCTGGCCTCGCCTCGGGGATGTTCTGGAGCTTGGAGGTGTTGGAGAGAGGGAGAAATGGTGCCGGGAAGGCAAAACACAGCAAATATTACAGCCGGGGGCTGGTTTGTGTCTCCTGCTGGCTGGGGGCCAGCCTGGGTTGGGAGCCCACCGTTGGGGGAAGAGGCTGCCGGAGCAGGACTTTGCTCCGACCCTCTCCAAAAAGGCCTCACTTTTGTAAGGACAGGGTGACCTGGAGACACCCAAAGCCTCCCAAAGAGCTTAAAATAATATTCACCACCAAGAAATAAACTTGGACTCCAACCAACCTTAAAAAAAAAATAAAAAAAAATCCCTGCCCGCAATAAAAAGAAGCGGCTTTGCTTCCCCGCCCTCCCCCTGCCCCCTGCTTTTTTTTTTTTTCCTGCCCCTAAACGAGCCGAAAAGGGAGCGAAGGCTGCGGGGTGGCCGTGCCCACCATCGATTTTTCGTGGAAGGAGCCCAGAAAGGGCGGTGATGGAGCACGGGGCCGCGAGCCCCCGGCCCCAGCAGCCGGCAGCGGGGAGCTGAACCGGAGCCGGGGGGAGCATCGCTGCTGGTTGGGGCTCTGCTCGGCCAGAAAAATCCAAGGGAGGAGGAAAATCGAGGTGGAGGAGAGGAAGAAGAAGGGCCGAAGGGCTCGGGCGAAGCAGCCATTAGGAAAGTGCTGATGCAGAGGTTCACTTGTGTCTACGGGCAGAGTTGGAGGAGTTGCTGTTCGCGGACAAAGGCGGTAGGAGGGAGTGGAGCTTTGTAGAAGCCGGAGCCTGTCTCGCTGGGTGTCTGCGTTTCATTCCCTGTCAAGCGGCTGGGGAAAAGCAGGGAAGCGCCGAGCTGCAGCGCTCGCTCAGGATCAGATAGCGAGGAAACCAATAGCGGAGGGAACCAAAAAAAAAAAAAAGAGAGAAAGAAAAAAAAAAAAAAAGAAACAACAAACCACCGAGCAAGCAAGCAACCCACCCTCCACGCTGAGACTGAAGCAGGCAGGTCCCTGCCAACTACACAGCACGCATCCAGCAGCGAAGAAGTCTTCCCTCCCCGGGCAGGAGCGGAGTTGAGCCCGAAGGATATTTGATGACACTTTTGCAGCGATGGGGCCCCCAGCATCTTCCAGAGCCCATTTGAGGGTGAAGCCTCTGAAAGCGCAGAGGGAGTTTGAAGCTAAATTCACCTGAGTCTGGATCTCTTGGCCGCTGGGATTTATCTCTATCTATCTATTTTTATTTTTCTCCAGGGAAACCAACCAAACAAAAAAAAAAACGTGTTTTGTTGTTTGTTTGTTTTTAAGCTCTTTTTTTTTTTTTTTCTTTTGGAAGAAGATCTTTATTTTTTTTTATTATTTTTATTTTTTTTCGTGTGGTTGCAATGGAGGGCTTGGGTCTGTGCCTACGAAGCAGCAGCCGAATGCTGGTCCTGGGAGAAACCGGCGCGGACGCGGGGTCCCTCGCCAGCTAACTCCGCAGGACCCGGGGCCGGGGGGCTCGATGCAGTGAGAGGTAAGTGCCTGCTCCTGGGGCGGCAGCGCCACGGCTCCCCCCGCTCCTGTAGCTCTGCCTGATCCCAGGTCGGAGGCAAAAACAGCAGTCTCATAGTGAGTCAATCACTTCCACCTCTTGCAGCCCTACCGTAGGAACAACACGGGGAAGTTTCGCAGCAGCAGCCTCGCCGGTGAAGTTCCTACCCTCGCTCCCCCTTTCCCTGTTGGTGACCGTGCCCTAAATGCCAGGGTGGGTTCGACTTTGCCAAAAAAAAAACAAAACCCAAGACCAAACCAATGCCTCGGGTCCCCTCCCTGCCCGGCCATGGCGAGGATTCCTGCTGCCTTTCGGGGAGCTTTGGTGCCGTGCTCGCCTTCTCAGCCAAAACTTTTGCACAAGGTGGTTTTTTTTGGAGATGCCCATGCGGGGTTGTGCCCCCGAGCACGCACATGCCCGTGCGCGATGCCCGCTCCCGTGAGGCTGGAGAGGGGCGAGCCGGGAGCTTGGGGGGTGCTTAAATGCAAACTGCAAAGCGCAGGGGAAAAAAAAAAAGCGAAGCGAGCCGCCGCCGACAGCAGCAGCAGCAGCAGCATAATTGCATCACTGTAATAGTATCGGCGCTGAGCGCGAGCCAGGCGAGTAAAAATCGTCCAGAAAATGAGCTGTGCTAAAGTGCCTCCAGTTAGCAGCACCTGCACGCCTTCTCTGGGTGCATGAAGGCTGTTTGTATTTTTAGCAGGCTCTCTTAATTATAGAGCAAAGCGTGGCAGAGAGAAAATGGTGTGTGCTTAGCAGGATTCAGCCCCGGGGGGGTTTTGCAGTGAATGTGAGCATACCAGCACCAAATCAGGGTTCTTCTCCCCCCCCCTGCCCCGTACCCTGGTGGTTTCGAGCCACCTGTTTGGTGGTGGGAACCAGGTCTGGGTTTTTGTATTCCTGTTCTTAGAAAGCGTGCCGATGACTTCGTTTCCTAGCGCTGTTTACCTCTGGTGTTGGGAAAGCTCTGGCAGAAATGGCCCGGGCCAGGAAATTTTGGGGATGGCTTTTACCCAGGGGGTTGATCCGTCCGTGTTCGTAGGGCCTGTGGCAAGCACTTAGCAGCGTGTTGCTCTCCGAAAGTGACCCTGCCGCTGTCCCACACCCCCCCTGCACCCCAAATCGGAGCAGCCCCCATTGTCAGCATCTGGGGGATCTCGCTGGGGTGGCCCGATGGGGACAGGGAACTTGTGTGGCTCTGGCAGGCACTGAAGGCCGGGGATGTTTTACAGCTGGCTGCAAACAAACAGCAACAACTCGTTTTGCTCCCGGAGAGCTCCTTCCCCTCATCCCTCTTCTCTGTGCTTGGAAAACTTTCCGTGTCCTTTTGTTCTGAACAGCAGGTGAAATTCCCTTTGTGTGAGCACAAAGCCGCGAAGGCAGAAAATAAGGAAAACAAGGTTAAAAAAACAAAAATAAAAATCCCCGACGGCTCCTTCCAGGCCCGGAATAGCGCTGAGCATTCCCATACGCGCCGAAGGAGCTCAGGAAAACACCGGCTCTGCTGGGGCAGGCACCCCAAAGGCCACTTTACCTCTTGCCTCCGGTCTACGACATGCTTTAAAATCCCTCGTTGTCTCTGTTGGGTTTTTATCCCAAAGAGCCGCTTCGCCTACGAGTTCCAAGTGGATTTTTTTGGAGCCCTGAGGTGACCCCAGCAGGGTGGTGGCGGTCCCCAGGCAGTGGCACGGCCGCAGCTGGAGGTGAGCTCCCTCCTGGGGGGCAGCAGGGGAGGGACCCGGCCCCTCTGCAGAGAAACTTCGCAGGAGCTCTCCAGGCAATGGCACTTAAATGAGCTTAAAACCGGCGTTTTCTCCCCGGTGGGAGACAGGATTTGGGGTCTAAACCAAAAAAAAATTTGGGAGCCTCACCCAAGCTCTGCTGGGTAGGGAATTGGATGGGGAAGGTGCTCCCTGAGGATGCTGCCTCTGGAAGGGCCAGGAGGGCTGTCACCGAGGGGGGGACACACGGGTTTGGCCCCCTCCCCGTTGTGCTGGGGTGCGTGGCACGCAGACACCTTATGTAAGCACCAGGCACCTCCTGTAGCCCTGCTGCTGGCCCTGCCAAACCTCCTTTTTGGGGGGGGGTCCTGATGGATGTGGGTGCTGCTGCGTCACCGTGAGGGCAGCAAAATCCCTCCTGGTGTTGTCCGGGGGGGGACCAGGGGGACCAGAGGCGGTGGGCACGGGGCTCTGCTGGGATTTCTGCAGGGTGGGTGCGTGCAGCTTTGCCTGGCAGGGGCACAGGGGCTGCAGCCCATTTCTAGGCTCTTCTGCACCTCTTGGCTTGCACCCAGCCCATTTTGGGTTCTGTACCCAAAGGCCATGGCCAGGGTGAGGGCTGGCGCTTTTGGGAAGGGAGAAAACAGCCCGATTTGTGCCTATTCCTTGTGCTGCCGACCCGCTGCGGGACCTGGGGTTTGTCCCCCGAGCTTGGGGACACCAGCTGCTGAAGGACCTGTGTCCCTGCCCCGGATCACGAGCCTGTCCCTCCATCCACCCCACAGGCACAGAGCACGCAAACGCATCCTACAGCCTGCTGAGAACACGGGGAGCTGAACACGGCCCCGCTGCAGCATCTCAGCTGGGCTATGGGGCACAAGGGTGGGATTTGGGGGGCTGTAGGGCGCTCGGGGGTTCCCGGTGCTGCCCCCACAGCTCTGGCTGGCCGTGTGCCCATCACCTCGCGGGGACGTGCCCCTCTGTCCCCGTTCCTCTCGTGCTCCCGGCCCCATCCCCGGTTCCCAGCTCCCTCCCTCGCTCCCAGCTTGCAGCGAGGCAGGGCTGCCGGTGGGCGAGGGATTTTTTTTTTTTTGCCGAGCTCTTTCAGATTCCCCCGTTGGACTTTTGAAGCATCTGGTATCACTATCTCGGCGTCATTATGAATTAATTAACATTAATTCCCTGTTCTGGTATCTCCTATTGCCAGGAGCCTTAGCCTGGGATTTTATTTATTTATTTCTTTTTTATTCTCCCTCCCCCCCCAAGATGGAAACGGATGGGTCCAGGCTATGCCTGGGGGAAAGATGGGGGAGGCCACACGGCTGGGGGACCGTGGGGTCCCTGTCCCCATCCTTCAGGGCAGGTGGCATTGGGGCAGGGGAAAGGTTTCCTCGTTAGCTCTGGAGAGGCCTGATCCTGGCTCCCCAGCTGGTGCTGGGGGCACCAGGGATGCTGCTCCCTGGGATGCCAATGCCAAGGGTCCTGTCCCCAAGGGTGCTGTCCCCAAGGGTGCTGTCCCCAAGGAGGTTATCTTGGGGGGGTGCTGTCCCCAGGGGTGCTGTCCCCAGGGGAGCAGACTCCAGGTATCCTGTCCCTATGGATGCTGACCCCAGGATGCTCCCACCCCACAGCACCACCCCCCTTGTGCCCCCACACATCCCCCTGCTGCTGCCCCTTGCCATGAGCTTCTGTAGGGCCACAGCAACCCTAAGGCCACCCCAAGCCCCCCGCAGCATAGGCTGAGGGGTTGGGGATCCCCATGGTGCTCCGAGAGCCTCGGGGACAGAGGTGGGGTGGGGGGGGACACCCCCGGGTGGGCTGGGGGACAGCCCCGGTGTCCTACATCCCCGGAGCCAGCTCGGGCTTACGTAACGGCCGTGCTGCAGTCTGCTCTGCTGCCACTGCCACCGGCTGAGCTGCGGTGCCGAGACCGTGTCCCCATGTCCCCATGTCCCCATGTTCCCATGTCCCTATGTCCCTGTGTCCCCCATATCCCTGGGTTTTTGCTTTTTGGGGACAAGGGGGGGATGCTCCGGGGGCAGGTGTGCCCTGGAGGGTGGTGGCAGCTGGCAGGGGGTGGTCAGTGGTGCTGCCTTGGGGAGCTTCCTCCTGCCACCCTGGGAGCTGAAATATCCCCTGGGTGCTGCCACCCTGGGGAAGGAGAGGATGGGGACAGGGGCAGAGAAGGGAGCCCTGCTCCGGTCACAATTTTGGGGTGTCTGGGTGGGGAGGGTGCATAGGGACCCCGCCGGCATCCGCGCTCACTTCTCTGCCCTCCTCGGAGAGAAATCTCCTTCGGAGAGAAACTGAGGCAGGGTGCGAGCACATGGGGCACGGGGCACCCGGAGGAAAGGCCTTGGTGCCATGCTGTGGTCTGGCTGGGGGCCAGCACGTAATTGGGACTGAGAAATGCACACCCAGGAGCTGCCCTGGGGACAGGAGCCGCAGGTGGCCCCGGTGCTCGTGGTGGCACTCGCCCGGTGTCCCCCTCCAGCTCAACTTGGGGCAAGCAGGAGCAGGGTTTGGGCAGGGAGGTGTGCAGGGCCCCCCCCCCAGCTCTGTCCTGATGGTTTGGGGTCACCCAGCACGCTGGGATCCTTCTCCCACCCCCATGGTTTAGCAGGATGCCACCTCCCACGGCTGACACCCTTGGGGACACCCGGCAGGGCAGCACAGGGCGTCCCTCCGGGCTGGAAAACCCGAAAGTGGCAAAAAAATGTGGTGCCCCACGGTGACAGAGCCTGTGTGGTGACCGTCCCCTGTCCCCTCCCATGCTGAGGCTCAGCCCGTGGCAGCATTTTTGGGGTGGGAGGTGCCCAGGCACCCTCCAGAGCCACCCACCCTCCCCGCTGTCCCCTCCCAGCTGCATGGCACAGGGACCCCGCGCCCCGAAGCAGGGGGAACAAGGGCTCCTCTGATCGAATCCCTCCCGCCTGGGCCGGGAAAATCATGGCTTTGTCCTCGCTGCAAAAGGCTCAAAGGCCTTTGGTTCCCTTTTGGGACACGTCTGGAAGTGAGCCACCGAAAGAAATGCCAGGAAAAATAAGCCTTGGGTAGCGGCTACTCTTCTCGTGCCAGTTTCGGCCTTCCCAAACGGAGGGCTCTCATCCCGGGGGGGCCCCAAAAGACCCCCACCGGTGCTCAGCGTGCCGGGCTGAGAACGCCCTCCAACTCATCACACCCGGGGGCCAGCTAATCTCCATCTGACAGCGAGTCATCCTGCCCACCGCGCCGCAGGCTGCAGTGACAACGCGCTTAAAGGGGCTGATGAATTAAGTGCATCTTATGAACGCATCAGATTCCCGTATAATTACAGCGCGATGGATTATGTGCGGTGCTGGAGGGGAAGCAGTTCGGTGAGGAGAAGGAATTGCAGTCAGAGGGGAGAGGCACTGGAGGGGAACTGGGTGAACTGGGTGCAGCTCCGCTCTCCTGGTGCTGTGCCGCCAGGGCTGCTGCGGGGCGAGTGCCGGCACCGAGGGCTTGTCCCAGCTGCAGGGTTAAGGGAGGCAGGCTGGCCCCAGGGAGCCAAAAAAGGGCTGGAGGGGATCGTGCTGGGCTGGGCTCCGTCCCCTCTTCTCCTTTTCGCCCCAGGAGGAGGAGACCCCGCTGCCCACGGGCTGGCACAGGTCAGCAAGGGGCTGGGGGCTGCTTGTCCTGGCACCCCGCTGCTCTGTGCATGCACATCGATGCTCCTGTGTGGTACAGCAGTCAGCAG